ATTGACATTGATGTAGGCGCAGACATTGAACCGGTAGCACAGCCGTCGCAACCACAGCAGGTTGTCCAGGTGAGCATTGCGCCAGGCTGCACGAGAAGGCGCAATTGACTGACATGCGCGCCATCGCAGGAGCCGGCCGAGCAAGAACAAAACATACCCGCCGCCTACCTTGAGGACATCATTGTCCACGAAGCATGGCCCGAATCGCTCAACCTCCAGGGCGTGAGCGACTTTGACCCCAACGACCCGCTCTACTGGGCGATGGAGCATTGCCAGTCAGACCCGCGCGTTAAGCAACTACGCTGGGTAAACGACAACTCGGTCAACCTCGAATTCTACAATAAGGAAGACGCGACCGTCGCACTAGGCATCCTCACTCACTCCGACGTGGGCGACACCAGCAACCTCTCACTACAAGAGCCCCGCACAGCGCAACCATACTCAAAGAAGCCCAACAGTCGCCTCGTCATCAGGCAGTCCAACGCTGGCGACCAGAAGCCGAAGGGCGCAGCAACCAAGAGCAACTACTACCAGCGCAACCCAGACGTGGCTGGCAACCACCAGAGGGAGCCGCGACGGAACCAAAAACCGCAGAAAGACTATCTCGATTATGGCGACGAGGAAATGGGCTCCAGGGACCGATCAAGACGGGGGTACAGCCGAGACCAGTCCATGGGCGACTCAGGCGCTGACCGAAGGGGCCCGCGCCGGAACGGACGAGACAACCGTGATGGCCGTGATGGACGAGAAGTCCGAGGTCGCGGTGGCAGAGGAGGTCGTCCGCCCGCTGATGGTAGACTCAGGAATGACGACGTTGATTCCTACCGACCCGGCTCAAGAAGGTACTTCAGCGCATTGCCCCGTGACCCTGTCAACAAGCTAACAGACCCAGTCCACAAGAGCCACGCTTCGGCCGTCTACGAGGACGCAGTGCCTCCCCTGCCTCCGACGAAGAAGGCGACGGTCGCTTCGGATTCGCAGAGAACGAGACCCACGCGGGCCGCCGTCGGTATCGCAGCCGGAGTCGCAGCCGCAACAACACTCGCCGTCGCCGTGAACCCAGCATGGATCGCTGGACACACGACCGGGCAAACTATGATCGCGGCGGCCCTGCGAGTGGTGGACGTTGGCAGAAGGACTCTTTCCTTGACACTTCGCCAATGGGCCATAACCACCACCGGTCAAACGCCATCGACGCAACATACGGATCAAACAAGTCACGAGGAGGGGATTCGCTACTTTCTCGCATGACCAAGAACGGACAGCCCGTGCTCCCGCAACAGAAGCGGTCGCTAGCCGATAGGATCACACGCGATGATGACGATCCCGCTGAGTCGTTTGGTCGCCTCAAGGGTGACGACCGCGATCCCTATGTCACCGACTTCTCTGAGCCGTCACAGCCTCGACGAGGTCTCGCTGATCGCATCACACGCGATGACGATATCAGCATCCGTGGCCAAGGACGTGCACGCAGCCAGGAAGGAATCAACATCCGCGGATCTGCTGATCGGCGTGGCGGAGGAGGTGGTGGTATCAACATACGTGGTGTGGCGAGCGGCGCCTAGAATGCTTCCGCTACTGAGCGTGATGGACGCGAGACAAGGAGAGATCGCTGGTCTCCTCAATATAAGAAGGATTCCGATGATACTGCTCTGATCAGTCGCCGTCGTAGCTTTGGTATCATCATGGAGGATCCTGAGTTTTGAGCACAGATTGGGCATGGCACTATCGGCTGCTTTCGAAGCGAGCCTGGAAGAAGTTGCATACTACTCTACTCTACGGTCTTACTCTTTTATTCTTGTCTTGCATACTATGCAGGACAATTGCCGCTTTTGGGCATCAAAATTGGGCGTCTTTTTGCATATGGCGAAACGAGGTTCGAGCATAACTCGGAATACCAAATCATGATCACAAGTTCAAACATGAACTGCTTGCCATTCCTCTCCATGTTCAGTTATTGTGAAGAAATGTCTTGATGCGACGACGTGCAAGTGTACTTATATCTAGAAGACTATTTAGCACGGAAGACAAGCGGATTGCTCTTGTCTCCTTGTTGTATATCTCGTTCTGAGTCAATCGAGCAGCAATCAGTGGTCACGTCCACGCGCATCTGGTATTCCATTGTTCCAGCAAACATTTGTAGTCGGTATATAACCATCCCTCTCCATACCATGCTCATTTCCGCAATTAACACCTCAACACCACCAAGCAATCGTCACAGCCCTCATCCACCAAATGCATGTGTGCCACCGTTTCCATACTCACTAACACCTTCACAGGCCCCAGTCCGGCTCCCAGACGACTTCCATTCGCACCCCTCATTTCCTCTCCAAGGCCTCTTCCCACTCTAGGACCAAGTGCAACTGAGCTCACGGTCTCGCCATAACTACAAAAACTCAAAAAGATACCATCGGCACTGAAGACAAGATCGACATTGGGTGTCTTCTACCACTCAGTGACAGCGGACCGGACCAAGTTGTCCAGTCATCCATCTCCGAACCATCACGCTCTTTAACCGGCGCATACCTCCCCTCCGCCACCCACTCGACCTTCTTTTTTCCCCTTGATCACGGTGGGCAGAGCGGCTGAACCGTTCTCAACAGTCCCTCGATTTCAGGTTGCTCAACATGAGCCGAAACTGCGGTGTGCGTTGATGTCTAAACCTTTCCATCATCTTTAGCTTGGGTTGAGTCTGAACGGGGCTCTGGGGTTCTTTGTTTAAACTCTTTCCTTTTAATATTCATACCGTTGGGTTGATCTCATTGCGCTGGGCGCTGCGAGATCAGACGTCTGGCATCTACTGGCAGGTAAGTGGAACGAGATCTCCTACTGTTTGCTGGTGGGTGGATGCTTGCTTGGTGGGTGTGAGAAGATGGAAGGATCGGACTAGGTAAGTATGGCTCCTTCCATTTTGTGTACTCACGCGTTAGATTACGGTCAACATTGCTGAAGGTGCATGGAGAGAGCTGCAGTGAAGTAGGTACGATGGATATATACGTAGTCAATAGCGCTATTCAAAGATCATAGTAATTACAGCGAAACTCATCTAAAACCTCGCCTCAACCTTTTGCTCTGTGTCTTGCAATGCCCATTGACTCCTCGCCTTCTTGCTCCTCACAGCATCAACCTGTTCCTTTGTGAATCCCTTCGCGACTGTCGCTGGGTTGTATCCCAATCCAGTGATCTTGGCGATCTGCTCGTCTGACTTGTCCGTCGCGGCGCTTCCGTCGTGCCTCTTGTACACTGTGCATACTACAGCGCCTCCAAGACCCAGGTTGTGTTGCAGGGCAACCTTTGTATCCTTGATTGATCGATTGTTGGCCCAACCACGCATGTGCCAAACGAGCTCAGCGCATTGGGCGAGACCTGTTGCACCGAGGGGATGGCCCTTGGAGATCAGACCGCCGGAGGGGTTGATGACGACCTTTCCGCCGTAGGTGATGCCACCCTTGCGGATAAGTTCGTGAGCCTTGCCCTTGGGAGCCAGGCCAAGGGCTTCAATGGTGACCATCTCGTTGGCAGAGAAACAGTCGTGGAGTTCGCACACCTTGACGTCGTCTGGTGATACGTTGGCCTCTTCGAGCGCCTCCCGAGCAGCCAGCTCACTCATGCTGTATCCTACTAGCTCAATGGCGCTGCGGTTGAACAGTGACGGTGTGTCGGTTGCTAGTCTTTGTCCAGCAATCAGAATGGCCTGGTCTTTGAGCTCAGGGCGCTTGTCTAGGAACTCCTGCGAGACCAAGACTGTGGCAGCAGCTCCGTCGGAGGTCGGGCAGCATTGAAGCTTTGTGAGGGGTTCGTGGATCATGGGTGCATTCATGACTTGTTCGAGGGTGTATTCGTCTTGGAATTGCGAGTAGGGGTTGTTCTTCGAGTGGGCGTGGTTGATGCGACCGATCTCTGCGAAGTCCTTGAGTTCGGAGCCGTATCTATGAAGATAGTCAGTATAGAGACACGGGTTGATCCAGCGTCGGGACTCACTTCTCCATGTGTTCCCGTCCAGCGTTTCCGAACATTTGCGCCGCACCTGGTGCCTTGGTGATACCCCTCGTCTCCTTCATCATCAGGCTCGTCGTGCCTGTCGGGTTTGCGCGATCTTGGAAGAAGCTCTGTAGACTTCCAGGGAACATCTTCTCAAAGCCAACGACCAAGACACAGTCGGCCGCTCCATGCGCGATCATGTTGCGTCCCATGTAGAGGCCGGTCGAGCCAGTCGAGCAGTTGTTGTTGACGTTGTATACGGGAATGCCAGTCATGCCGAACTGGTAAAAGACGCGCTGGCCGCAAGTTGAGTCGCCATAGCAGTAGCATGCGACGCCTTGGTCGACGTCGTCGTAGTTGATGTGCGCGTCGAGCATGGCCTTGACGCCTGCCTCGAAACCGAGCTCAGGGTAGTCCACCTTGCCACGAGGCTTAATGAACTTGGTCATGCCCACGCCGAGGACGTAGACGGGCTGCTTCTTGCCAACCATGATGGCGGTTGTGAGTTGTGAAGGTTGGGATGCGAAGGAGCTTTAACGGTGGAGTAGGTGCGACGGAGACGTAGCAGTACAATCGAATTATGGTGGTTCTGAAAGAACGGAGATAGTGGAGAATAGCGAGACGCGCTCCATGGTGATGTATATAGCGCGACGGTTGTCCCCGCATCCGCAACACCCGTGGAAGTTTGGCGCGTGGAGATGCCGAGGTTGACTCGTGAATGACAGGGGCGGGTCTGAATAACCGACCGCGCCTGAGGGACACTTGTAGTACAACACGACGCTAGACCACCACTGCATAATCTTGGTGAACTCTTCGGTATATTCGCAGAAGCATGTCAATTGCTTTGCAAATAGGGAGCCATTCTGGCCCAGCTCACTCAAGCAGTAAAGTCGAGTTAGCACGTAGTGTGCGAATCTGACACTCCATTCTCTCTCTAGTCAGGGATCAACCATCTTTGTACGTGGATTCCAGTGTGTAGAATGACGCGACACATCCAGTACGAGAATTTGGCATCACGATCATTCTTCTGGGGGCAATTTCATGAGCGTCTTGTATGGAAGACCATTTAGCCGACACAGATCTGAGGTTACTGTAGAAGAAGCCTATGTCTTCCTGGTCAATGTAAACGCTACATAGGAACGCTTGACTTCTACTTCTACTCTTTGCTTCACCCACTTCTTCTCTACTTTCTCCACTGCCTTTCTTCTTCTTCTTCTTCTTCTTCTTCTTCTTCTTCTTCTTCTTCTTCTTCTTCTTCTTCTTCTTCTTCTTCTTCTTGTATACTAGGACGATAACAGTCTGTACAAATGCATCATCAGGCCATTCTTTGCATCCTTCCCTCGTAACGTATTTGACACAAAGATTCTGAATCAACAACCCCATCTGGCAGGCGCAGATGATGGATTGCATCACCATGGGACCTGATATCCACGTCATGTAATGCTTCCTTTTCCAACTGTAGGTAGCAGGGACCAGAGGCAACCTCCTTCCAGGACTCAACAACATCATCGCTGAGCTCAAGATCCCATGTACCACGCCATGTAAGTGTCGCTATCGCACTTGCAGTATGTCGCTGATAAATTACCGCACAGGCTTGTCCTGGTTCACTGTTCCAGAGCACCATGGTCTGGAGCTTCGGCATCTTGAGCGCAACCGAACTAGCGTTTTGCAACAGTGTATAAATGTCTTGGCGAGGGGCTGTCCGGGCCAGTGTGAATGACGTGAGTGTCAACGACTGCAAGAGATTCCAGGTACATGGCAGCTGCTGGCATGAAGTGAAAAACTGCTGGGCGTCGATCATGTATGAAATAGAAAGGCGCTCTAGATGTTGACTTTTGGCGGCAAACGCTCTGGCAAGGTGGAGTTTTGTGGCTGAGGGAGTTTCCACACGTTGGTTCAAATGTGGCGTGGCGTTATCAACTGCCAATTCAAGTTGGTTGTTGAAGTCCTTAAAGATAGATAATCTCCTAACGGAGTTTGGAACGCTTTCCAAGACCCAGGTGAACAGTACTATTAAGATGTCAGAAAAAACCAGAATACATGTTTGATGTAGGTGTAAGGGTGGGGGTGGGTCTTCAATCTTATACCAGATCCGATATAAGACAATCTCAACAGAACGAGTACGGCCCCTCTACATTTCTAGGCACAAAAGCGTATAGTGAAGAAAGGGCTCAACGTACTATATGCACGCAGGATCTGGTGATTGCGCCGGACAACCCACGACTCGTGGACTATACTTTCTAGCCGAGGGAGTTTCTCCCACAAGGCCTTTAGTACGTCGGGAGAAAGCTCATGTCGAAGTTGTCGACGTATGCAGAAGCCTGTAACGGCATGAACGGCAAGGATGTTTTGAGGGATGTTCCAGGGGAGCAGAGAGAAGAGGCGCAAAACGGCGGGCCGGCCAGGAGTCTCGAGCTGCTGACCATTAACCCAACCGTGTTTTGGGTCGTGCCATCTAATGGCTTTCTCCTCTTGCGTCCAGTCTCTTGTGTCTTCATGTCCAGGCCCAAAACAGTAGTTTTTGAACCAGTGTTGTGAGTCACTCGGTGAAGATGCGCTCAGTTCGAGTGTCAACCGACCCGTAGGCTGCCAGGTACTTAGGATAGAGAAGAGCTTTATGATAGCCCTCTTAAACATGGTAGATCTATCACGGGACGCAATGGCGGGTCGTTTACAACTGGTGCAGGTGTATCGAGGAAGAGCAATATTGAAACAGATGTGCTTGACAAGAGGCCTTTGTCGGATAACGAGGGTTTCCAGTTCTTTTAGACAGGATGGCTGCAATGATAGTCGGGAAAAATTCCTGGGTTCAAGAATGACCTGCCGTTCCTTACAGACGGCTGCGCATTGAGCCCAGCCAGGATGTTTCTGACCTGAGATTTCGTCGAGGATTGAAAGACGGATATCCGCAGGCAACGAGGGCCAGGGAAAGGCGATGCCATTATGTCTCTCCGTCATTTCTGATATAGAAATTTCTTTGGCAGTAGTCGTGGTAGAAGGAATCGCGCACGTTCGAAATTTCGGGTTTTGGTGGTGGGATTGATGATGGAGGTGCGCAGGGCGCTCCTTTCATAGTCAACGCACAGGTGTCCCGGTTCCGCAGCGATTAAGACACCTACTGACTTCAGTTATATGATTGCCTCGACTTCGACCGTGTTTAGCTATAAGGATTATCGCATGGTGGTCAATGATCTTTGACTCACATCTGTGTGCGATTCCATATCTTGGTAGCCATCCACTTCACCCCATGGTACTGCGATGACGCAGAGCGAAACTAACCACAACTGCGGTAACATCGACGACCTGGACGAAAAGATGATCTCACAGATGAGAGATGTCGCAAGTATAATATACTGGTGGTTAATGATTATCCTTAGTTGTCCAGTCTACACACCACGTTTTCAGTGCAGAGGACGCTTACGGGCAGCACGACCTCGTCTTTGGTGCAACACAAGACTAATTCTTGTATCTATTCTATGCGACACGATTCCTCTGCGCGCTACCAGATGTCAGGTTCCACGGACTACTAGCGAAGACCAACTGTTGTATGTTTTTTGTTGCTCTTGAGACGAATACAATGAGCCAAGTCTAAGCGCATCTGTTGTATTTTTCTTGCTGTCTTCAGCAAGTGTCGTTCGCGTGATTGTTGGGGGACGACAGCGTCTGAGAGTAAGCGATAATTGTGGCTTGATCGTGACATTAAACTTTTGATCCTCCATGATGGACTGTAGAAAACAAGTCTCTTGTCCCATCCTGTAACTCGATTTGGGTATCGTCTAATCGTCTTCTCACGTCTCGACACCCTCCTATCTGCGTCCTTGAGCAGACCCGATCGTCGAGGTTGCGTGCACTGACCCGACCAACTCCGTCTTGATCCAAATCGCACCCACCGTATGTTCCACTCTCAACTGACGTCCTCGTCCTCCTCGTCCCTCTTCCTTTCTCGCTCATCCTCTTGCTCTTTCAGATGCATTGCTTCGACCAGCTCACTGCCCTCCATACCCACCTCTTCTCCATTGCTGCCATCTGTCGGCTGCTTCTCTCTTATGGCCTTCTGGGCTTCCACTCTCTCGCGGACCAGCTTTGCAATTGCGTTGTCTGTTTGCACATTGAGTCCCTTCATCTTCTGCTCCAAATCCCTCTTCAAGTCCCAATTTGGCTTTTTGGGCTGCAGCTTGAACAGGTCAAGTCCCTTGTCCTCTGCGGTTTCTGCTTCTTGTTGCGCCTTTGTTTCGAGCGCCAGCTGCTCTGCCTTGTATTCCAATGTGCTTGTGGGGTCGGCGATTGGTGTGTTGTCAAAGCCCAATTTGACATTTCGCGTCGTCGCATCGAAGTTTCGGCCGGAGAGGTATGTGGCTGCTACTGATGTTTCCTCTTCTTCTGTGCGTGTGAGAGCTTGCGACGTCTCGGCTTGCAGCTGGGTGGATGGCGAATCGGCAGCTTCTGGCGCGTCTGATATTTGCTCTTGTTTCCGTTTCAGCGACTTGAGTTGTGCGAGGCGCGACTTCCGGTCGTTGGCGGCTGCGGACAGCTTTTCGTGCGAAGACATGGTGAGAGCTTTGCGGTTGCGCCGGGCAGGAGTGTGCTTGCGTGCAGGGTCGGGACGTGTCCAAAGCTGGTCTATAACGTGATGCTGTGCACGAATTTTCTTCTGAGAATGCGCGAAGAGAACAGAGAGTGTGTTGGGTGGTTGCTGAAGTGGTCGTGATTGTCGTGTGGCTGCGGAGAACAGCTCGGGAGTCCAAGATCTTCTCCGGTTAGCGCTTCTGACCAAACACGCACCTTCTCAAGTTTTCGTGCTCCTCGCCATCCTCACCAGCTTGCTTGCAATTGACACGTCATGGCTCCGTGAAGACGACAGCACCTGCATCTTCTCATGCCCCGCTTTCGCGTTCCCAATGCTAGCCTCATCGCCAGCGCCGACTTTCCCATCCTGCCGTTCCTCGCTCCGAGAGTCTTCGCCGAGTCATCGACACCGAAAGCACACAGCCAACAGCTTGCAAGGCCTGGCACAACACGGGGCAAACAGAAGGACAGATCAAAGAGCTTAGAGGAACATAACAGGGTGGAAGATCAAGACTTAATCTCGAGCGCCCGACAGACAACTATACCAACATGTCGCAAACGACCGACACAAGACGCTCCTGTTGCGGGGCTCCTACGGACGTCTGGCCATTGGAGCAAAAGAACTGACGGTCCCGTTTCTGTCAATCGCCTCTATGCGGATATATCGACATTCACTCGCCAGTATGCCCGCTCATACGCAACGACCACATCCAGCAACAAAGGCGTAGCGGATGAGAAGACGCTCTCGCGACCTCGAGCTCGTCGGGCACAGTCTAATCGTACTCGTGCTCCCTCGTCCTCCGTTCAACGCACACCTCTGCGAGCCGAGAGACATTCGAAACAACTCGCCTTGGAACGTGCGCGACTCGACAACTACGTCTCTAGACTACCTGCCGGGTTTTCACCTTCAAGGCGCGACCAAGATGGCCGATACAGGTCCCTTCGACGCCGCGTGGCAAACCTCGTCAGCTGGAACCAGACGCATCTTGATCTGACTGACACTTCTGCAAAAGAGAATGGGCTTCAATACGCGTTTGCGGCACTGGATCGCCCCGTCTACGCATCTTTGCGGAGAAACACACGTAGCGTCGTTATAGAACACGACCCACGATGTGCGCGATTAAGTTGGACACTCTTTGCGGGAGACACCGAATCAAGTCCGCGCCAAGTATCGGACAGGTGGAAGGCTCTCGACATCTCGACCCGGAAAGGCTATGCTCATAAGTTGCTTATTTACCTCCTCGATCGTAAGCCTGGCCGCGCTTTATACTTCATACAAGCTTTGGTTAACGATACACGTACCTGGAGCCGGAAGCGAGAAGCTATTGCCGACGCTCTCAGTCATCTTTCCAAACTTCATCGACACCGATTGTATCAGGACCAGAGTTGGGGTACTGACCTAGAAGCACGCAAGCGCGAATTCGTCCCGGCGTTCTTGCACGTCTTTGTCAAGACGTTATCTAGCAAGCCCGATCTCTGTTCTCAAGACTTACTGTACAATCTTGTCGAGCTGGCCAATATAGAGGATCTGAAGAAAGTGTTCGATTGCCTCGTGGAACACAAGGTACGCGTTGACTACGATACAGTGCTACACTATGCCACTGCATTTGGGCACGCTGGCGAAGTGCAGTATGCGTTGAAATGCCTCGAGGCATTAAAAAGCCGACATTCAGCTAAGTCGTGGGAGTCTGTTGTGGCTCGTCAAAGACTTCGCTGGGTGTGCGCTGTCATACTGCGAAGGAGCATGGCTGCAACCAAAGACTTTCACCACACTCCATATATCGTCGCTGCCTTTGTAAACATGGGTATCCAGATGG